TAGTCGATCTGATCTGAAAGCACAGGTTATAGAAGAAAAGAAAAAGAAGCAGATACTTCAACAACGCTTAGATGATCAGGAGCAACAACAACAAAGGATATCTGAGTTGGAGTCGCAAGTGAAAGCTATGCAAGAACTTTTTTTTAGGCAATCACCTTCATTGACTCCTTAAACTCGAGAACATGTGCATGACTAGGTAATTATTTTTTATAAAATCTCGTATATACTTTTATGATTGACTACTTGCACTAAAAAATGTGATTTTTACTTAATAAGATAATATTTGCTTAATTGATATTTCTTAATTATGTGATTTAATTTTTAAAATTTTTCAGGCTATCCATGCAAGATTAGGAGGGGGTAGTTCGAGTCTTCTTTTGACGATGATTAGAGATGAAAGAATGTGTCTTCCCCAAACTTTTATTTTAATTTGTTTTAGATAGTTTCATGTATTTTTTTTGGAACAATTAGGATATTAACTCAGCTTGTTATTAGTATTGAATATTTGAGGATGGTGGAATTTTATTTATTAATGTTATTAATGAATGGAATTTTTATTTTTCCTCTTATTCATTATTGGATATTTTTAATATATTTTTGTTGTGAATCTTAGTGTCAGGTTGAGAATAATATGATAGTTGCCTATGAATGAAAAATTATTATTAATATATATTAGAAATTTGTAGTCTACAATGACGGTTTTATAAACCATATTTTGTTCATCAACGAAGGGAAAGCACTGTCGTTGATGGGTTACTAATTACCCATTATGAGGACTTTTACGACGGTATCCAACCGTCATTAATTAGTCTTCAACGATGGGAAAAATATCCCCGTAACTAATGGTAACGACGGGAAAATATCCCCGTAACTAATGGTAATGACGGGAAAATATCCCGTCACTAATGGTAACGACGGGAAAATATCCCCGTCACTGATGGTAACGACGGTGATAATTACCGTCGTAAATATTAATGACGGTAATATGTTTCGACGGGTATTATATCCCTTCGTGACCCTTTAGCGAAGAGGGCTTCAACGACGGGTGACGAAGGGATTTTTCCCCATCGTTAGCATACAATAACGACGGTTTTCAGCTCTTTAACGAAGGGAAATCCCTTCGTTAAAGATGTAATTTCTTGTAGTGGTCTCTCCATCGTGAAAATGAAAAGAACAAAAAATACCTACGGTGTATCATCAACCCACGTCTCCTTGTTAAGACGCTTGCAAATCTTTATTCACAGCACTGCCATGGCATCACTGTATATAACGGGGCCTGGAGGGTATATAAATAGGGAGCCAAATAAGGAGCAAGTGCTCCAACAATGCTCCCCAAATGGCTCCCTAAATAGTTTTGGACATTTTTCACTTACCTCCTTTTGTCAACACTATAATTAATGTCAACACTATAATTAGTTTTAAAAAAATTAAAATGAAATGAAAACTAATAAATCAGTTGTAAGTATAAAATATGAGAGAAATAAAATAATTAAGAGATGAAGTAATTTACTTACCTTTAAAGAAAAATAGTAGAATGCCAAGTGCAAAATAATTATGAGATGAACTAATTTATCCTATACAAAGATGCTATATATATAGATGAAAGGAGAATGAGAGGGGCTTGAATGCAAATATAGTCGTTGTATTTTTTAGCCGTTGCAAAGTATTGCAAATATAGGGAGTGTCTCTTCTTGTCTTTGATTTGGAATATCAAATCAAGGATCCTATATTTGGAATAGTATATAGGGAGCTTGTTGGAGCCAAATATTCACTTCCTACTCCCTAAATTTGAGCTAGGACGTGTGATATGGAGCCTCTTGGAGTTGCTCTAACCTCCTAAATGAAACTCCGAAACAAGTTTAAAATTAGATATCTCTTCCCCTCCCCCTCGATCTCTATCCTCCATCCAAACAGGCCACTAGAGTCAACTTGCATACAAAGAAGGAAAAGATAAAAGACTGGAAGCAGTCTCTTGCTCTTGAAACCTTCATACAGAACAAAACAAGATATCCAAGGTTTTGTTATCACGTGAACGGAGAGATGAGAGGCTAATTATCCAAGTGGCGAGTTTAAGGAACTTTCAATTTTTTGGAAAGCAGCAAGCAGTACTGGATTTAAGGACTACGGAAGTTGGAGGGAGATCAATTCATGAGATACTCCAGTTTCTGCTTGACAACCAAGAATGTATCGTTGTTCTCTTACGCATCTAATTCTTCTGTTCCCCCAAGAATGCAATGAATAACTACAAAAACTATAGTGTGATTGTCAAATAATGTTCAACTGCTAAGTTAGGGGAACTTCAAGAAAAAGATATATATTAATTCCTACTAAATATATTTAGCTCAAACGCTAATATCTACTCGTTAGGGGGGGGGGGGATCTGGCGCGCGCACCATCATCAGTGCTATGGTCTCCATTGCAAGGGTAATGCAGTTTTTATTAGAGTGTGGCTAAGGGACTCAAAAATATGAAGGACCAGGGAGGGGACATGTGAGGTGTCCCCTCCGTAATATCTCCTTGTTTATTTAAGGGAAGGGGAGGGCGGTGGAGGGCGGGGGGGATCTGGCCGCCACTAACGCGGGGTACTCAGTACTATGTCTCCTTGCAGAAGGGTAAATTGCATTTTTTTCAAAAATCACCGCTGATAGTTCCAAATGGCATCTATATTTATATGACAACAGGACCTAAATGATACAAAAAAAAAAGATAAGAAAGTGATATATATATTCTATAACAGGAACATCATTGGTAGATTAGTGCCAAATTAAGACATCGATCGCTCCAAGATAATAATATGGAGCAGGGCACTTCGGTCGATAGACACATAACCTCAGAGTCATCCAGAGTCTGAAATTTACTTTAATTGTCATCGGGTGAAATATTATCGACACAGGATTCAATTAATTAAGTCACCATAAAAAGGAAAGACACATTTTCAAGCATTAATTCTTGAGGCTCTGAATGCCTTTCCATTGAACAAAATAGGATCTAAGATCTTGTTATCACATGATAAAGAGATACAGATAGCTATCGAGGCAGGGAACCAAGGAGTTTCTGCAGTTTGTGGGAAATCACCAAACGGTGGATTCATTTAAGGAAATAGGGATCGAGAGTGAGATCAATTAAGATACACTGCTCTACTTGACAACTAAGAACACGTTGTCCATACTCACGATCTCGATCTAAAATTTTATTACTATGAGTCTATGACCTCTCTCTCTCGTAGAGGAAGGAAAATGCTAAGTGTACTACAATAGCTATATTACTGTCGTACGTACTAAACACAAAGAAGTGGAGTCCACATGAATTCATAATTCCTCTTTGCAATTTACAAGGAAAGGTCCCACTTTTATGTGCGTAGTGGTACAAGAATAGCACAGCTATATATCACAACTCCGCTACCTACCATAATTAAAATTTTGGTCCAAGTCCAACTAGCTAGCTAGGGTTAAACATAACATGACCAATTAATCATTGGCATCGTGAAAGCTACCTATACTCGTCGAGGGCACGAAGCGCGTCATGGATGGTGGGTGAACACGTCATACATATGGAATCAAGGCTGCAATGCTTCTAGTTGATGATGCACCCATGCATGTTGGCGTTATGTAGAGCCCAAATTTGAAGGGGGGCAACAATAGAATCTTTGAAGCTCGATTAATTAGTCCCCAACGTCGTTGTTTCTCTGATTAACCCAGTTTCCTAACCTAGACTACGCAGATATTCCAAGCTTGACCCTTTCGATATAGGTCAAATTTCGTGAAGTCGTGACATCTTGTCGACAAGCATCACCGTGCAAATGTTCAATATTCCTCCCGCCTAACCTCGTGAGATTACAGCATGCAATCAAGCATTGCTATAGTTTACTGTATGTTTTAGTTGGGAGGTCTGTGTTAATTAATTTAGTTGACTGCTCAGGTTTAATTAGTCGGATGCCAGTACCAATCAAACATGCAAGCCTAGCTTGTTGTCACAACTGCAAATAATTGATGAGTAGCTTCTGCAGACTTTTCAAAAGGGTCCGGGGTCTCGGAAGCAGCAGCTAGCTAGCAGCAATTAAATTGGTGGAGAGGTAGACTTTCCTTTAATTTGTTGGTAATCTTCGCATACCAAACTTAATTACGATGGTGATCAGATACCTCTTCTCAGCTAATTAATTGATATTAAACCCAACTTAATTTTTCATGATACGACGCAGGACGTACGATTGGATCATCCTCATTGGAACTGTGGGGGTGTGGAGCTTGCACCTATAAGGTTCAGAACTTCAGATATGACCCTGTATCGACTTTTAGAAGTAACCAACGCTCCAAATGAAAGAGGGGACTGAAAAGCATGCGTATAATAAATCTATAGAATGATTAATTTTCAAATAGATATTCTTCTGCTGGTTAAGACAAACTTCTGGAAAAGTATATATATATATATATATATACTTATATATATATATATATATATTCCTACCGAATCTATATTATTTTAACTCAAACCTAGCTAACATCTCTCCCTTCCGAAACAAAGATAAGAAAGCCATATTCCATATATAACAGGGACGTTATTGGCAGATGAGCAAAGTTTTCCCATCAATTGACACGTAAAATCAGACGTGGTTCTAAATTTTACTTTTGTCACCAAATGAAAAATGATGGACTCCCAGATAAGTGAGCATAGTGAGCATGTAAACTAAGTTGCGAGGAGTTCTTTTAAGTTCCCCGCATGCAACAAAGGAAAAGACAAGATTGGAAGCAAATTAAGCAACCCCTTTGACCGATATTTTGTTATCTATTCCTTTATAATAATGAGAGGATTCAAGATTTACTATTCATGATACAATAATGCTACAGTGAATTACTGTAATATTATTACCATAGCACAAAAAACATGGATGATCCAAGGTTAATTATTCATGCTTAAAAAAATATTGTAGCATTATTACTGTAGCACATGCGGGACTGTAGCGTGCAAACATATTACTGTAGCTCAGGCGGGATGCTGTAGCATGTAAAAATGTTACTGTAGAACTTACAAAATTATATTTAAAATACAGAATTACTGTAACGAGAATAAAAAAAAATGGAGGTCGTGTTTTGCACACGGGGTGCACACTAGTAATATGAACACGAAGATTGATTTCGTGTCCCTCCAAACATTAAAACAAGGAATAGGGAAAGTGAGCGAGGTCGTATTAAATACACCATAATACGTGACGTCCTAGAATGTACCACCCAACACATAATAAGAACAGGATGCGTACTTACAAGTGCGGGCTAAACATCATGCCGTTGCGATCTAACGCTTGCTGAATATTGCAACCGTTGTTTTATTCCTCGCCCTGTTAACTTACACAACAACGTACATTTGAACATTTCATGGTTTTTGAATTTTATCAGGTCTCCAGCTGCAAAGAAATCAGGTTGTGAACAGAGTAAGCACACACGTGAGCAAGGAGGGAGTGAATGCGGTGTTCACAACATAAACATCATAAATCATTGAACATCGTTGGCATATGATTATGGGAATATAATATTTCCATGCGAAGCACGTGGCATCGAATATTTGGGCTCTATATCCTGTCATCTTCTTTCTTTAGTAACGGCTTTCTAGAATTCCCTGCAGCGCTTCTGCTCTAAAAATGATTTTATTGTCTAAGATGTTGATGTTATACATGTGAAACCGCGAACGAATTTGAGAAAAACTTGAAAAATAAACAAGATAGACTTCACCACACCCTGGTGTGGTGTCTGCCACACTCAGGTGACAGAATCTGTCTCTGTTGACATGAGTGTGGTGTCTGCCACAACACACCCAGGTGTGACAGAATCCGTCCTGTTTTCAAGAGTGTGGTGTCTGACCGCGCACAACAGTACCCCATAAGAACTCAAATAAAGAGAGACCAAAGATGAAGAGTTTGCACGCTGAAAGTGATCAAGTGATCAAGCATTTATTTTGGGGAATAATCAAGCATGATTATTTAATATACATCGATTTCTAGGACGTGGAAACTAGATTTCGTAGTTAAACTCTGCAGTTTGGCACGTGCTGGTAAACCCTAGGGTTCCTAGGCTTCTCCTTGTTAAAATGAAATTAATGTGTTACAGAGCAAATAGCTGACAAATCAAGCTGCTGAAAATTATCAAAAAAAAAAAAAAAAATTTTTTTGCAGCGAATCATTGAACTCTAGGGCATGGAGACTCAATTTTATACCTAAAAATTTGCGATGTGGCATGCGTTGGAAGCCTAGCTAGGGTTTTTTAATCTCTCCTTCCCGAATCGAATCTCCTGTTAAGGAGCAAATAATTTTCGCAAGAAATTACAGCGATTAAACTAAAACATAATTGTGATTGCAGCGATTTAACTGAAGAAACATAACTGTGATTGCAATGAAAGAGGAAGTCGAGACGAGAGAGAAGAAAATGAGACCTTTTGAGAGTCGGGAGATTTTCGTAGATCAAGCCCTTTGCCGCTCTCTCCCGAAATGAAAGCCTTTTTGAGACTGTGATATGTGGGCTGATTTGTAGCCCAAATAATACACAGCAGGATCCGCTAGCTTTTAGGGCGAGTAATGGAGATTTGCAGTTAGTCTTTTCTGCCCTCTCTTCCTTCACGCTCAAGGGATTGGTGGGCCGATTCACAGCCCATGTAAATAGGTCGTACCCCAAGTTAAAATGAGATGTCTGGCTCCAAGGCCCAGTTGGGGTAAACCAGGGCTAGTTTTTACAGAATCAAGGGTTAGAACAAGCTGCACCTAAAAATCCCGGTTCCTCCCGGAATAGAAAATATCTAAAATTCAGTTTTAGAACAATCTACAGTCACGAGCATCAATTACAAACTTCGGACTAATTAAACAGCATGATTATCAACATTCTCATTCCGCAGCACACGGCGAAACCTTAATGCATGGAGAGATAAAAGTTGTTTATTGAATAGTTGCAGGAATAATATGGATTAAAACAAACATTTCGTCACCAACGGCGGCATGAATTACAACTGAAAATCCGAAAAACACCATTTAACACCAATCTACGCCCAGCAAGAAAGCAGCCGATCAACACACATCTTATTTATTATTAGCGAAATCTCGCAAATATTCAGAGTACCACACATACAAGTTTCACGAATGCATACAAGTTTCACGAATGCAAAATCCTTCTCCCATCTCCCCACATTATTAAGAACATATGAATTACAGAAGTCCACATGCGTGTCATTAGGAATTCCGCATCTCTTTAACAGTCCCCTCAAGCGAATTGAGAGTGATTATCATCAATTAGTGCTTGACTGGATCTTTGATGATAGTCACTGGACACGGTGCATTTGTCAAGACGTAGCTTGTCACGCTGCCCAGCAGAATCCTGCTCCGAAAATAGATAAGAGTGTTAAAATCAACGTGCTGTCCGTATAACAATTTCCCTAAAACACAAATTCCATGATTCCGATAATATATCATCGTTCAAAAAAGAAGTATAGAAAAGTGATCAAAGAACAGCCCCCCTTACGGTTTAACTTTAGCATAACCACACGCATAGCTATTACAGCTTCATACCATTGAACATAATGTCATAAAGAACACGGCCAAAACAATGTTGAACACTAGGCTTAACCAACAATATGATGAATGATGATCACGTTGAAAGTTAACTAGCGGGAGTTGTTATCTAAAATATCAGCAACCCACCTCGTGTGCTTATGAGCGGACAATTGAGCTTCATGCTTTTGAAAACCAATCATGTGGTGGGTTTGAGAGGCATGTCGTTTTTGGCTTGGCTATCTGTCACATTTCGCACGCCCTTCATGTGCGCAAGTATATATATTAACAAATCTTCGCAAATGCCTTGGCAACACCGAGGGAGGTGGGGTGTCAATAGTTAGTGTTACTCAATTTGGGGGATGATTATGCCAAACAAAAGTTGTCAGTCGCTATACGACTACTAAAACAATATACAACTTCCTAACATATGTTTACGAACCTTAATTACTTGTAGGGAGCTTACTCCACGGGTAAAGAAGTTCACTCCATCATTTTCCAATGTTTTCATTTGTTATCCAGATGCCTGAGCTAATGAAGAGCAAGGCAAGGTGCCCCACTCATACTAAAAAGCTCCGATAAGCCAATTATTCTGACTACAAACTTTGAACAAGCGATACCACTGTGTACCTTGAACTTATATATAGCTATAGCTACTATAGGTGAGTTATTTGTGAGAACGCAACATGGAGAAACTTGAGGTTCAACATAACGGGTGTCTCAATGCACACTGATTTATGACGCAACTACGTCACACACAAGTTCAACACAAATACTAATTTGTGCCCGTATGGATTCACAAGATGGAGTAAGTTTCGGTCCCCGTTTACGAGACGAGCAGACACAACCCAGAAAGCAACTATTTAAGCTGTAGTCTCTCAGGGAGTGAAGGGCACTAGTTAATCGGGGAAGACCACTTCAGTGCTAATACAGACCACTTCGGCCTTAGTTTGATAAAAACAGCCATCTTCATACGTAACCAACTTGGACGTAATCACTTCTTAAAACATCTCTGGCAAAATTCTCATTGAACTCTTCTGAGCAGCCTAATTTCAAGTCCATAATCTCAGAACACACTTGCTCTGGAAAAGCAACAGCTACTTCAGACAATAATAATATTGTAGTTAAAAGATATTTATTTTATTAATTATATAGGAAAAGATTCCTTATTTGACTCTCTAGCTAGAACACCGATAGATCCGAGAAACTTGAGGTTGACGCGACATCAGAAAGCAAATAAAAATTGAACAAAACTACAAAATTAATTATCTGTTCCAAGTAAAAAAAAAAAAAATTTGCAAACCTCCGGAGCTGGCTGAGGCCTCTGCTCCCCATCACCAACGAATCCAGCTTCAGATCGGGCACCGCTTCGCACAGCTTCTCCCTCGCATCCCCCCAGTACAGCTTCATCACGATCGTAACCTAAAAATTTCATCCCAAAATCGCTAAACGAATTTAAAGACGCACGTACTAATTAAGTTCGAGAGACGAAACGATTAACTTAGCTATAGCCGCCTAATTCAACCCCAACCTGCTTCTGCCTCGAGACGGTGTCGAGCAAATCAAGAACCTCAATATCGGTCTCCAGACCGTAGTGCTTCGCCGCCGCCGGATCTCTAAACTCCGTCAGCGGAATCAAAGCTAGCAAAACAGCAACAAAAAGATCGACGGTCAGGAGTGGGGGGGAAAAGAAAAGAACCGATCTTTAAGTTAAGTTAACTGAGAGCTGAACGCAGGTAGCTCTGGAACTTACGAGATCCAGATTTGGACCAGAGCGCGTGCTTGGATTCGTCGCCTTCGTCGGGCATGACGTGGAGGACGATCAAGGAGTCGCCCGCGTCGAGGAGGTTGTCCACCGCCCATTCAAGGGCCCTCTTGCTGCTCTTCGAGAAGTCCAGCGCCACCCCGATCCTTCTATCTCCTCCCATCTTTTCTTCTTCTTCTTCTTCTTCTTCTTTTTTTCTTTTTCCCTTCTCGGTCTTCCTTCGCCGTCTCGTGATTTCGCCAATATAGGCCAAGGACAGCTGGCCGAAAAGGCTTTGTTTTTTAGTTTTAATCAAATACCAGCAAAGCCTAGTTGCCCTAGTTGATTAACATTTAAGATTTAATTAATTAAGAGAGGAGGTCAGCAAATTAGTAGTTTATTTTTTTTATCATCGGGAAATGAAGGGAGGCTGGGGAAAAGGATAAGGATTGGGGGGTTAAGCAACGGCGTGGTGCGAAGAGTGGACTATTAATTATTAATTAATGAATATCCGTTTGCTTTTGCTTTTTATTTTATTTTATTTAGGTTTTAGAAGACTCAAATTATTCTTTGCTTTGCTAACCGAGATGAATCCTTTTGGAGGGAGGGGGGAGGAAGCTTCTTGGATGCTTGCCACGTCTCTATCGCTGATCAAGCTTTAGATGTCGGTGACAAATCACGTTTTGTTCATTATCAGGAAGAAAAAAAAAAACAATAGATGAATAAATAAATTAGACATTTTATGAAAGGGCCGTAGGCCTGCATCACTTCCTATAAGCCCAATAAAACACTTTGAGAGTTTTCATCTCTACAGAGCCCATCTGTAGGGTTGGTTAAGGAAAATGATACGGGCACACCCTCAACCACAACCTCAACCACACCCTCTCTCTCATTTGCTACAGTATACCGGACCCCACATGAGATTTTGAAATTTTAAAATCTCATATGGAGCCCGGTGTACTGTAGGAAATGAGAGAGGGGGTGTAGTTGAGGTTGTGGTTGGGGATGTGCCTCTAGTGCCACCCGTTGGTTAAATAGAATAAAATTTCAGCCCAATTTTCGTATCCTATTCAGCCTGGTACAATATAGGTCATGTTTTCAGTCTGCCACTTATATTTCTGCCTATGAAATGTACACTTGTTCATCTTTGTATAAGCTGCATACAAGCTATAAATACATAGGTTAATAAAAATTTACATTAAAGAAGAGGAGGAGGAGGAAGAAGAAGAAAAAGAGATCTTTAATTATATGACAATTGTTCATCTTTGTCACAAGGGTATATATTGATTAAATTCAACTGCTCACATGATTCCGATTAATGTTGATGACTAAGCAAAATCCTTCCTTTTTTAAAAATGAAACTATCGGGCATCGAACCCAAAATCGCGAGAGTCATATTGTAACCTTCCGCCCATCAGATCATCTAAGGTGTTGGTAATAAGCAAGATCGTAGTGATATATTAGGTGTCAATTTCACAGTCTGAAGACAATAAAATTTTACTCTTGTTTGAAGCCTGCACACGAAAGCACCTAGATCACATTACCTCGGAGATCTCCTTTCGAATGTCATCTCCCCTTATATATACTTAGGAACCCTCATCCCTCAAGTATTGTTAAAATCAATGTCGATGTCGCTTGTAAATTCGATTCCTCTGCTAGATGTTGGGTTAATTGCTCAGTGAAAATTTTGGGCCACAATCGTCACTCTTTCTGCACATTTAATCCACCTACATCACCCATTGAGGTCGAACTCCTTGATCGTCTTGTTGGGATACATTTTGCTCTCTCTTTTGGTTGGACTGATATTATCTTGGAGTCGGATTCTTGATATTTTGCTTATGCTATACGGAGCAATTACGCACCCGTAGCATCTCTCAAATGTCTTCTCAGATTGCTAGGACTATCTTCAAGTTCCTCAACTTTCTCTTTTGTTAAACATGTTCGTTGTTTGAGAAATCTTTGTGCGCAATTTTAGCTCAATTTTCATGCCTAGGACGGTGCGGACTATATGTATAACCAAATTCTCTTGGATGCTATGTGTAGGCTGTCTAAAAATCACAATAGATAGCTTATCCTCCGTCAAACACCGATGATGGAAGTTACAATCTGACGACTTCCAGAAGGCTACAATTTGAAGACTTTCACGTAGATCGCTGAATGTTACAATCTGACGACCTTCACGACAACCGATGAGAGCTCTAGTTCAACAGCATTCACAATCAATATCGGGAGTTACAATCTGACGACTCTCATATTCTCAAGGAGCCAAGACGAAGATTACAAGACAATGATCTTTGTAACGCTATGACAAAATAGATTACTTGTTGATAATCTCTCCAAAGCAAGACGCGGAACTCATCACCGCGCTCTAAGACCAAAACGCGGAGGTCCTCCCCGTGTATCAACACCAAAACACGGAGGTCCTCCCCGTGTGTCAACAGTAAAATGCGAGGGTCGAACCCGCGTTACAACACCAAAACGCGGAGGTCCTCCCCGTGTGTCAACAGTAAAACGCGAGGGTCAAACCCGCGTTACAACATTAAAACGCTGGAGTCGGACCCGCGTTACAACATTAAAACGCTGGGGTCGGACCCGCGTTTTTCAACACCCAGCGAGTACCCAACTCCGCGTCTCAATTCTAAAACGCGGAGTTAGGATCCTGAACGCCCACGTGGGCGTTTGACTCGTTCAAACACGAGCTGAACGGTTACAGGAACCGTTTTTACTCCACGATTTGAGGGATTTCCGCCCTACTATGGAGAGAATTAAGGGGGCGGTTACACCCCTTAATCCCCTATAAAAGCGAGTAAACTCAACTGAGTTAAGGGTTGGCTGGGTTGATCGGAGAGACTGGAATTTTTCGGATCTGGGAATTGGCAGCAACATGAGAGATCATTGGGCGAGCTTTTGAGGGGATCGACATCATCCTCCAACGAAGATTATCTTCAACTTCGACAACAGAGAGCTTTGATCCTTGGCTTATCAACCGAACTTTTGGTTCAAATCAACTCTTTTTCAAGAGTTCAAACTCGATCAGAGTTATCAACTCATCAAGAGTTTTAAACTTGCCACGCAAGTTCTCCACAACGTCAAATCGTGAGGAGAAGACATCGTTCCAGTGAATCAAGACGTCGGATCGTCAACGGAGAGCAAACTCGACGTGAGCATTCGAGGGAGGTACTCCATCGCTGCCGTGAAGAACCCAGTTTTAAACAAAGGAGAGAATCAAATTCGTTCTCTTCTCTTTTGTAATCGAATTGTAATCGGAATCAAAGAAATACAAGTCAATTTTCTTTTGTTCTTCTCATTGCAATTTTTCCAACATACACTATGAACTAGAGTTTTTCATATTCACCAAAAAATAATAATAATAACGACAAAAAGAAAAAAAACTTTGCACATGCATATCCCAAAGTATTCAGTGCTCCTGGCCCCTGGGAGTACATAAAGCAGACATCAGACTTCAAAGAGTATAGTAAAAGTCAGCTTCTAAGTTTCTAACAAAGAAACAGCTAGTTTTGAGCATGTAAGAAGTTGTTGATAAACTACTCATTTAAAATTAGGGGTTTTTGTCTTTGAACCTAAAATTTTACCCTCACTTATTGAGAAACCCATTGACTTTAATAAAAATTCATACACCCAAAAGTACTCCAACAACTTATTTTTGAACCCATTCTCCCAAATACTGTCTACCCATGTACTGTATTTAAAGTAAGAAAAAAATAATTCCAAAATTACCCTTCTACAAATTATAATCCTTCTACTTCATCATCGGTCCCAAACATCAGAAATCCCTAACCCACTTCATCGATCCTTCGATCACTTCACCGATTGACCATGATGCATCTTCTTCCGCCTAGAGGTAGAGGACTTCACTCTGAAGAAGAGGAAGGCTCTAGGATTTCTTAGCTTCTTCTTCATGGAGAAGCCCACCAAAATCCCATTCTCTAGCGATCGGATTCCTTTGTCGCTTCTCGCTACCGCTAGGATTGTCGGAATCGATCTTGCAGTCTACGCCTCCGCCACTACCGGCCCCTTCCCTTTTTCCACTTTTTCTCTGGGTTAGCTCCTAATCTCTTCCCTTATCGGTTTCAATTCTAAAGAGAATAGGGGATAAAATTTATATCTTGGGTTGAAAAATGAATTTGGTGATGTGAAGTAGGATTCTTGAGTGTAAAAAACGAATTTTGATTGGGTTAGGTATCAAAATACGTAGATAATTTACTCTTTAGATGCAATTGTCTAAAAAAAGCTAGCTTTTTAGCACTTTATTATGGATTGAGAATTCAACAAAATGATTTATTCAATCTTCCACTTTGATATAGTGGGTACTAATGGATCTATCTTAAATTAAGTGATTGCTTAATTGTAAGTCAAAGTGAAAGAATAGATTGTTTTTCGTTATTAAGCTAGTTGATGAGATAATTAATTTTTTTTTAAGGATTTGTGTAAGTTTGATATACCAAATAATTAGTCTCTCTCTCTCTCCTCCATGATATTTGATATGCGTCCTAATGATACACAATTGCATGTTATTCAATCAGAAAAGATATGCATAAAAACGAGGCCCCATATTCTTATGAAGATGTGTTTTATATGTTAACATATACCCTTCATACAGAAAATTCCAGTTCATTTATGGAGTAAAATTTGAAGAATCTTCCACATGCATGGTTCAATGAATGCGAAAGAATTCTTTTCTCAATTATGGGCTATGACCAACCTGTTCTTTACCTACATCGTGTAAAAAGCTTCGCTACGCATGCTTGCTGATGCAACTAAACAAGTGGTGGCAACAACATTGGAGGCAGTAAATTGATGGTTCTTTGTATGGTTTCAGATTATGTATTATATGGTTTTCAGCTTGTATATATTGTATCTGCAAGCTAGCATACATTGTACCGGGTTGTTCAGGTTATGTGGTCTTAAATAGTATTTGTAAGGTTTTCAAGTTGTCGTGATTGTGTGAATCTTTTAAGGTTTTAGTTATTATTGGCATGCTTTCAAAAAAAGAAAAGCAAACAAAGAAGCTATGTCCTTGCACAGGGACCATTCTTACTAGCTGTTCGAGATGTCTGTGTGAGTCATGGCCTATTGATCCCCACTGCAGAGTGAGATATGAAGATAGGTAGACAGAAATAGGGGTAAGGTAGTATAAACAGGAGTTTTCGCATTAATCGAATGGTTAATGTCACTCTGACGCGTCATTAATATAATAAATCGCAATCACTTGAAAGACCCTCTATTTCTCAATTTTAATGGCAGAGGTTGGAACCAGCAAGGCCATGATGATCATGCGTTGGAGATGCTTAGTGGGCTTTAAATTGGGAGTACAAGTTAAGAATGTCATCTTCAGTGTGCAGTGACAGCCCAACAACCCCACTCACGGAACCAAACAGCACGCCCGCTGCTAACAAGCCGCTGCTTAATTGCTTTTTCATCGTTGCAGCCGTACAAGTAATTACCAAAAAGGAGAGTCCAAATTAGCGATGCTGAAGGATCCAAAATATGATACTAACACGTGAAATGTCCCTCTTCTATTGCATCTTGAGCTGACATTACCAGTTCATTATGCAATAGGTAGGAGACAACTCACATGTCCTTTCTTGATCCTATATTTTTGGTACTTAAATCATTTTTCATTTTAAAAGCCGGGGAGACCTTCTGACAAAAATTTCGAAAAGTTTGTACCTTGGAAACTACAGTCCTTTGGAAAGTCCTTCTACTAAAATAAATAACAGCAGTGAAACTCTCGAAAATTTCACCAGTCAGCCTAAAATTTTCATCCTTGTGTCAGATAAAAAGACAAGCGATGGGTCTTTTACTAAACCCAATGGGATCTTTAAAAATGAAGCTAATCACCAATTTAAGAGAGGGAGGACGACGAGGATTGAAGCGAAACGGAGCCACAATTTAAAAACCCACCACGTAGCACATTGAGAGAGAGAGAGAGAGAGAGAGAGAGAGGGAGGGAGCGCTTTGCTTTATCTCTGTGTGTTCCTCTTTCATGGAGATCATGTGTTATTAGGGGCCAGCCCCTGCAATGATAGCCAGCCCCAGCCTTCAATTAAACAAAAGAAGAAGAAGAAAAAAAAAACCCATCGAAGTTTCCTTGCAAGTTATTCAAAGGAACCACCCCCTAAAGACAGGCCACCACCCAAGAGCAAAAGCCATAACCACTGCCTCCCATTAACTGAAAGTCCCTCATCGAATCTCAACCCACTTGCTCTTCTTCAGATACCGAGCCTCTAAATCTCTCAGCGACCCTCCATCCTCGAAGGCGTCTCTCTTAGTTGTTAAAATCGTTCCCCTGTTTCAAGGAAATGGGGAATGATTCAGCTGAGAACGGGACCGAAGTGGGGGAGAGTACAGGGAGCAATTTGGGCACAGAGGCTTCGTCGAGCGAAGAGAAGCACAGGTGCGAAAATTCCGAGGAAACCTCAGAGGAGGCAGCGGCGTTGGGCTGGCCGACGTCCGAGAATTCGGGTCCGTGTTTGGTAATCGACGATGAGGAAACCCATTTGGAAGAAGGGAAGACGGATAAGCCTAAGCCCAATGTTTCAGGTATTGGAGTCTTTCTTCTTCTTTGTGGGGTGTGTGTTCAAAACTTTCAAATTTGGTAGTTCAGATTAAAAATGCGCGCATTGTGAGCCTACATGCTTTTGATCAAAACATAGTGAGATAATTTGCTTAAAATACAGAGTGTGGTTCGCTTTCCAGCTCCTTTATCAGAAATTATTTCCACTTTTTTCTTACATATATTTTGATACTTCTGGTCACACACTCGGGGGTTGTTAATTTGCAATATTTTGATATTTTGAGCACTCCATTTCAAATTTAGAAATAAAATAGGATGAACATTAAATACAAAATTGAGGGGAAGTAAAATAGATCCGTATTCGTGTCTTGTAGCGATAAAAAATGGTAGTTGACAACTATTATTGTTATGCGTACTCATTTATCATCCTCGTACGTAGTCCTTGTGCATCCTCCAAACACAAAGATGTTCTACCGTCTCAACTTCAATCAACACAAAGTTCAGCTTCTGCTCGTCAAATTCTCATGTTGTTTTATTTGTAGTTCCCTCGAAGAATACTCTTTCTAAGTAAATGCATAATTTGTCGAGGGGAATATGTATATGCACAATTGCTGATTCCAAATACATGCTGTGCTGCTAGACATTGAGATGATGAAGGAAAGATTTTCAAAATTGTTGCTTGGTGAAGATATGTCGGGGTGTGGAAAAGGCGTATGCACTGCATTGGCAATTTCAAATGCCATTACTAACCTCTGTGGTAAATTTTCATCTCCGTTTCTTGCACAATGAAACTAGGACTCGCTCTGCATTAGTAACTTAAAAACTTCTATCTCCTTTTGCAGCCACAATCTTTGGCCAACTTTGGAGGCTAGAGCCTCTACCTCCGGAAAAGAAATCCATGTGGCAGAGAGAGATGGATTGGCTCCTCTGTGTTAGTGATCATATAGTTGAACTTACACCCTCTTGGCAAACTTTTCCTGATGGGAGCAAGCTTGAGGTAATCAACATTATTGTTTCACAATTTTGAACTCAGTTATAGTGTATTGCATTTGAACTCAGTTATCGTGTATTGCATATTTGTAGCTCAGTAAATTTTGAATAATTCTTTTTTAATCATGATATATGCACCCAGGTTATGACATGTAGGCATCGTTCGGATCTTTTTATCAATCTCCCTGCATTGCGAAAATTAGACCATATGCTCCTTGTAAGTCTTGATAATAAAGGTTATTTAGGTCAAAATTGAGTTGTATAATCTTTTACAACCAACAACTTTTCTCTTTTACAGGAAATATCGGATAGTTTTCATGATCAGGAATTTTGGTATGTTGATCAAGGGATATTAGCACAAGAAACCGATGGCTCAGCCTCTTTCAGGATGCAGTTTCAACGTCAAGAGGAGAAATGGTGGCTGCCCGTACCCCATGTTCCTGCTGGAGGCCTTCAAGAGACCTCAAGAAAGCAACTACAGCACAAACGCGAATGCACAAACCAAATCTTGAAGGCCGCAATGGCCATTAACAGCAACGCTTTAGCTGAAATGGAAGTGCCAGGGTCCTTTATTGACTCATTACCTAAGGTCCGATCTACGAGACATTTAAATACTAACATTTTGTTCATAGATTTGAAACTGACTTTCATTTTAAACTATAGAATGCAAGAGAAAGCCTAGGTGATGTAATTTACAAATACATTACCTCTGATCAGTTCTCCCCTGAGTGCCTCCTAGATTGCCTTGAGTTCTCCTCTGAGCACCAAGCTCTAGAGATAGCCAATCGTGTAGAGGAGTCCCTTTATATATGGCGTCGAAGAACAACAGCGAAGTCTAAAACCAATGCATAGAAAAGGGAGTTGTTGGCTGATAGAGCTGAGAGTCTCTTAATATGCCTGAAGCAGAGATTTCCTGGCCTAACACAAACCACATTGGACATGTGCAAAATTCAATTCAACAAGGTTTTTGCTTTTGCTCATCAAATTTCTCACCTTTACATACTTCAATTTTCCTTGCAACTAAGACTCGCACTTCCAGGATATTGGGAAATCGATTCTAGAAAGTTATTCCAGAGTCTTGGAGAGCCTTGCATTCAACATTGCTGCTCGAATCGATGATCTCCTATATGTTGATGACTTGACTAAGCATTCTGATCAGAAAAATGCCACGATCCCTTATTCAATTTCAGTCTCTAGCACTCCTTATGCTACTGCTTATGGAACTCCAAGCTTCTCACCAGTGCCATTGATTAGCCTAGCTCGGGGAGAGAAAACCCCTTTCAGCATCAGAAAAGGTCATAATCAGGGATTTAGTGTGAAGAAAGTTTTGTCAGACTATCTAAATGGCGAGACGAGAGGGAGAAATGATAGCACTGTTATCAACATTTCAGCCCCGATCCCAAGAATGAACGAGTCATAATTCATCGAGCTCAAAGTAAGATCAGCCCCTAACATGTACATGACGTTTGTAAGAAGCTCATAACCTACTATTTTGACCTATTAAGCCCCTACAGATACCATTTCCAGTCTATTGAGTCCCTCAGACAACAATGCTTTAGCTATGTGTAGGGCAGAGAAACTCCACGAATGCTTAATAGACTGGAAATGATAAGTAGGACTTAGCGCTGTTTCAATAATATGTTATGGGCTTCTTAAAAATGTTAGGTAAATGTCAGGCCTGATCTCACTTTGGGTTTCGATTCATCCGCATCTGGAAATGTAGAAGAAGATCGGCCCGGAGCTTACCTGACTGCTTACTGATTTGTGAAATGTTAGTAGTTTCTGTGATTTGGAATGAGTGCTAGTGTGATGACATGATGATGATTTTTTTTTTCTTTTTTGGAATTTTATACAGAAATGTTTCCACAAGTTACTGAATCATTTCTCTGTTTTGATTCAGAAGTATGGTGAGTTGTCTCGTGACGGATTGAAGCAGAGTGTCCACAAAACAATGCTGTAGCAGCAAATCTCTTGTTGCTTTTATATTTATTGATTGATTACTGTTAGAATATAGAATATATTCTTAGCATTTATTGTCATAATATCTAATTGATTGTTAGAATATAGAATATATTCTTAGCATTTATTGTCATAATATCTAATTGATATTTATCTTGTATAGGTTTCCTCATATGGTTAGTTACCTTGTATAGGATTCCTCATATGGTTAGTGTAGGAGTTTCCTTTTGTAACTCTTACCTATTTTGATTTTGTAAATCACTATATATTGTGAGTAATGAAACACTAAAGACTCACGGCAAATATTCCCTTCTATCTTGGCATCAGAGCTATTTTTTCCCACCTCTTCCAAACCCTCTTCATTTCCCTTCTTCGGCAATTCCATGGCCACTCCAAGCACCAAAACCTCTCCCTTTCACCCGGCGTTGGCCGTATCAAACATCAAAAATTTCATCCCTATAATTCTTGACATGAAGAATGATCAATATTCTTCCTGGGCGGAATTGTTCAAGACCACTACCCGAGCCTATCAAGTCATTGAGCACATCATTCCCCCCATCACCGCTGCCGACTCCTCTGACTTTGACGCTGACGATGGCAACAACGTCGCAGACAAAACTACCGACACCACTGTCGCCAAGACTACCGAAACCTCCGCCGACGATGCATCAACCTGGCAGCGTTTGGATGCCGTGGTCCTCCAATGGATCTACGACACTATCTCCAATGATCTATTGCACACAATCATTGAGCCAGACTCAACGGCCCAACAGGCATGGGATTGCCTTGACGATATTTTCCAGGACAATAAAAATTCCCGGGCCGTCTACTTGGAAAATCAGTTCACCAACACCCGCCTTGAGAATTTTTCGAATGTCTCTGCCTATTGTCGTGCCTTGAAGGTTCTTTCTGATCAACTTGCCAACGTCGGTGTGCCTGTCACCAACCACCGCCTTGTTCTCCGCCTCGTCAACAAACTCCCGGCCCAGTATGACACTGTTGCATTTTTAATTCAACAAACGGAACATCTCCCTCCTTTCTACAAAGCCCGCTCCATGGTCACCTTGGAGGAGACCCGCAAAGCTCACCAGGCCGGATCCTCATCCGCCGCTGCCTTAGTCTCCTTGGCAAACCCCCCTCCTCGGGCCACAGATCACTCAGCAGTACATGCTGCCTCTCAGGCCGCAAACCCGCCGCATAATCAACACTATGGCAGTCAGCACAGTCGCGGTCGTGGAGGACGAGGCCGAAATAACGAAAATCGCAGTCGCAATCACAACGGGGATGGACGCGGTGGCAATCATCATCCTCCGACGCAAATTTAGGCTCTGGGCGGTCCGTGGTCGACTCCCCCACCGTGGGGATCATGGATGCAACAGTC